GTGCCAGCCCGCCTTCTCCTGTCACCTCCGTCTCGGAGACCGCCTAGGCGTTGTTGCCAGCAAAGGGAAGATTCGGGGTAGGAATCTCCCAGCGTCCGCCAGGGTGGAATCTGAGGTTCTCGGTGGTAACATTCAGATATGCCGCCCCACTCCCAAAACAAAATGCAACCTCTCAGGAAGGGAAGTAGCCCAGTGCCCAGGTGTGACGGAGCAGGGAGCAGGGCAGATTTGACCTGGGAATGTTGCAGGGGGGTTGCAGTGGGGATGTGGGACTTCCCTTGAAGGAAGCTACCTGAGCTGTAACCTGAGCCAGGAACGGGGGTGGGGAGAATTAACACCTTCTGCCCGGGAGACTGAACAAAGGAGAGGAGCAGCGGGAGGAGTTTGGAGTTTAGTTTTCGGTTTGGGCTGGGTGGTGCAATGCAGGGAACCCCAAGCTGGGGTCTAAGCTCCCTGAACCTCCCAGAGGGACCTAATTGAGGGGGTCTGGTCGTACCTACACGCTCTGCTTGAGACTGTGTTCCTGTCCTTAAATAAACCTTCTGCTTTACTGGCTGGTTGAGAGTCGCAGTGAATCTCGGGAAGAGGGGTGCAGGGCCCTGACTCCCCCACACTCCGCAACACCAGGGACATTGAATTTTACCATGGGCTGCAGGGAGGTTTCTGGCTGGCCCACTGGAGCATGGGGAGGTAAAGCCCTCTGCTCCCCGACCATCACTGTGGTGTCTGGTCACTCCTGCCCTGGGGCTGGATTGGAAGTGGCAGCCCAGCAATGCAAGGCTACATCCTCTGGGGGTGCTGGCGGGCCGGTCAGGGCCAACCTGCTGTCGTGAATTGCAGGTGCTGTTCCGGAAGCTGTACGGCCCCATGTGGAAATCCACCTTTGGGAAGTACAAGAACGTGAACATCGGGAGCCCGGAGATCCTGGAGCAGCTGCTGAGGCAGGAGGGGAAATACCCCATGAGGAGCGACATGGCCCTGTGGAAGGAGCATCGGGATATCCGGCAGCTGCCCTACGGCCCGTTCACCGAGTGAGTCCAATGATCAAGGCGTTCCCGAGCGCCGTTGCAATGCAAACCTCGTATGGGCCCCCAGGTCAATACAGGGCTGGCGTCCCGAGCAGCTGCATACGATAGACTGGCCTGCCATAGGCAGGAGGTGAGACTACTTGAGCTAATGGTCCCTTCGGACCCTCTAGGCCGGTGTTTCTCCACGACTGGTCCATGGACCGGCGCCAGGCCCTGAGAGCTCCCTGGCCCAGTTGAGGAAGGCAGCAAGCTGAGAAACGTGGCTCTAGGGAACGGAGTGATTCCCGTGTGGGCTAGCGAGAGCAGTGCCATTACTTGGGTGACTGACCGGCGGTGCTGGTACCCAGGGAGCATTGCATTCGGACACTTGCCTTTGCTCCGTCCCGAAGGCTCAGCACGGCCTGCCAAAGCCGTACAGAGACGGCAGGATTAACGGGTCACGGCTGACCTGGTTTTCCCCACGTGAGTCATTTCCCTTGTGGGGAACTCCCGCTGGGCTGGCTACAAGGCCTGTCCATCAAAAGGCAGGTGATGATGGTGATTAGCGAATCGAAATCCATTGCAAAAACCCCCACGACGTGAACGTTTTACTGCGTCAGCCCAGATTTTCCGCAATTTTCTTTTGGAACAAAAAGCTTCAAGCCAATGTGTTAATTGGGGGGGGCAAGCGGCCCGTTCTCCCACGCCTCGGCCTTGCAGAGCGGCAGGACGCTTTCCCGTCCCACGGAAAGGCAGGTTTCCGAAAAACGTTTTGCTTCCAC